GTCCTGACTTCATTTTTCACTAATCAATCCAAGTCAAGCTGTCTTAGCGCAAAGACAAAGGACCTAAGAGTCAAAAGACTTGGGCTGAAACATCAAAATTATCATTTACTACCTGTATGAAAATGTATGAGTCTCTTAGTGCATTTTTTTTTTTGAGCAGGCATCTCTCATATTTATTGATCAAATGGTTGTTAACAACAATAAAACTCTCTATAGGGGACTCAATGCACAATCATTAATCAACCCCAAGCCTAACTCTCAACAGTCTCCAATCTTCTGAACCATAATGAACAAGTTCTTACATGGTGAACAGTGTAAGGGCAGTCATATCACAGAAACTTTCGGTTTTGATCACGAATCATGAACTATAAACAATCAAGTCAGATATGATTACTCATTTGATTTTTATACTTGATTTCTATGTGAATCCCACATTTCTCCCTTATTTTTTTTTTAAATAAAATGCTGTAGTGGTAGGTAGATGCAAGATAAAGATAGAAAGCATAATTTAGTGCTGTAAGAGGGTAAGTGTAGATGATCAAGTCTGTGCCTATAGACTAAGTATTAATCCAAGCTAGACAAGGGCAACAAAACATCCATGGATGCAGAAGATTTCTCTCAAAACAGGGGTTGTGAGGTTCTAAGCCTCACCTCTGTTGATCCCCAATTTCTCACCTGATGGTCCCCCTGTAACTGTGCCTGTCTTAGGTTGTTCCTCCCTTGAGGAATCTTACCCGTTTCTGGCTAACCAGCCGTCTTCCGGGGCCATACAGGGAAATGTAAACTTGGTAAGTGAGAGATAAGCAATATTCTTTGAAAAGGTTAGCATTTTCCTTCTTTGCATATTTATGCCCTGTGGCTTCTATGCCCAGCATTTGTCTTGAGGTATCCTTACCACTTGTAACAATTATGATACTTGGTAATTTTCTATATGAGGCACGAATTCTACTAAAGGGCTGTAATTAGGAAGGAAGAAGAAAAGCTATAGGAGTAGCAGATGGAAGAAAACATGGGGCGATTGATTATTTCTTTGACATAACTTCTTGTAGAGTAACATAAGCATGTATATGTTTTAACAAACCACTAATTAAATTGAGTACACACATTAACAGAATAGGAATGCAGATACATATCAAAAGCAGACCTACAATTACTGGCCATATCCAGTGAAACCAAGAAAACCAGTTAGGTACCCTAGGCATTTGTGAAAACTTATCAATAACCTGATGGTCTTGGTGCATTTTAGTGTTCTCATAAAGACTGAAAGAAAAGTGATGTCATGATTGTAAAAGTAGCTATAAGTCAAGGTGCTACACCAAAGTAAATTATAATAGAAGCCAGATAGCTCCTCAATCCCCAGTGCCTCTACTTCACCAATGATATATTTCCCTTCTTCCCTTTTCCATCATTGGAAATCTGTATCATCTACACTTATCACTTTCTTCTTTATATTTGTGTCATGACTCCATGATCTTGAGATCTACAATGGCCTTTCCCTTCCCTGCCCAAATTTTGATTTTTATTATTCACTGTTTTGTCCTCTAATCGCTGGATCTGTATCAGGTATTTCCTGCAACTGTAATCTCTTCCAACATCAACTCACAGTCATTCCTTCAAGAACAAAAATTTATTGTGACCTACAGTATGTCATGTACAGTTCTAGGTTTGAACTTGGAATGAACAAAGACAAAATTCCCTGTCTTTATGGAGTTTATATTCTATGGTGACAGAGGGATAGAACCTCTGGGAAGAATTAGTTCCTATTCAGCAGAGATAAATGAAGAAGGAAAAATAGGCCTGGCATAAAAAGCAGTTTGCCTGTAATGTAGAAATGCCAGTGGAGGGGAGCCAGGGAATAGGCAATTCTTGCTAGCAGGGTAAAGCGGATTAGAGTAGGAATGGACTGATTGGGAATACAGTGTGGGAGGGATGGAGCAGGAACACAAAAACCAAGAAAGAAAATATGTAAATTAGTCTCTTAGAAGATAAGGTCTTAAGCAAAAGAGAAAATGGAACAGGTGAGGGAGCTTAGGAAGGGGTTGCAATTTTAAAGACCAAATATTTGAGACAACAGGTGGGTGCTCATTAGCTTACAGTTAAAATCATTTTAAAGTCTACCCCACTAAACGACCTTTGCTGCACCCACATCTACACAAAACTTCTTCTAAATCAATAGAGACATAGAAACGACACGAAAGTTAGTAAATGTGCAAACATCTGGAAAAGAATCCTAAACTAGTCAACAAAACCAAGTTGGAGTACAAGGAAGCTCTGCTGTTGGCATCTAGCCTTAGGATGCTTTACGTAATCAAGAGAGCTTACTTTAGAGCACAGGGTGAACTTTAGCCTACATCTACTGTGCCAGCAATAGGGAGAGAAACCTTTGTCCTACTTTTTAATCATTTTAATAACGTAACTCAGTAAGATACCTACATAACCAAAGAGCACAGCAGTGGGGAGGGGTGGATTATGCCGATACAAATTTTAAAAATGAACATGTAACAATCAGCAACTTTTCCCAGTATTCAATTCTGGGAGAAGGGACAGGATTAAGGGAATTGAGAGTCAAACTTGAATGTACAGCCAGCATGGGGAATAGAGTCCGTGGTTCTGTAACACCTTTCTATGTTGACAGACAGTAACTGCATTAGGAGTGGTGATATTTTAATAATAGGGGTAACTGCTGAACCACTGTGTTGTATATTTGAAAACAATGTAGGATTGTGTATTAACTATAATTCACTTTAAAAAATTTTCATGTACATGATCTACTAAGGCATGAGTATCTAATTCATTTCCTAGGAAATTATTTTACTACTTACATAATTCGGAATTTAGATGTAGGGTAGGAATGGAGAACAAGATATTTTCGTTGTGATATGTGATTCTCATGTGACAGTCATATTCAGAACTATAGCCCACTCAGAGACAGAATGGGTTACAACTTCAAGAATTAGAAACTAGTTTCAAGAGAATTTAATCATCCACTGGTAAATGTCATAATCTCATTAAATGCTTGGTAATGCCTTGGCACAGATTTTCAGGGTGAAGGACTATTCAGTTGAGTCTAAATGGCAATTCAGGTGTGCAGGTATTTTATATTCACTTTCCAGACTTTCTTTCAAAATTTACAAATTGCTATTAAAAGGGGCCATAACTATACTAAGGCATATTTTCTTACTGGTGAAAACACAATGCAAAACATATATATATACATTTTTGTATGTGTACATATATTTCTATAGAATAAAGTATAGAAAAACTAAGCTTCTCACTTTTTATTATACATGTAAAATGCAAAAATTACTTCCAGAATACTCAGTCATGCTTCTTTAGGGCAGGGAAGACTTAACAATGGCTGACTGACTTCATGAAAAAACTGCTGTACACCTAAAATAACTCCTTTAAACCTCACAAGAAGGTATTATTCCCTATCTCACAAAGGAGAAAACATACAAAGAAATTAATTGCCCAAGGTCAACAGAGAGTAAAGGTACAGCCAGACTGAAACCTAGAAGTCATAGTCCAACTTTAATGCTTTTAATTGCTGTCTTGCTATTTTCAATGTCAAAGAAAACCCAAAGTCTCAATGACTTATTGTATTAGTGAGGAAAATAAAGTCCTGTTATAATTAGAATAGGATATTTGTTCAAAGTCACATAGCTAGTTAGTGACTAGAAACCACAGGACCTGATTAACCAGCTCAGTGTCACACCAACTGCTAACACATAGACGTATCTTAAAACAAATGCAGGGGCAAGTGTAAAAATACACATTTGACTTTTTTTAAAGCATTAAACCATTAAGTGTGGAAAACAGGAAAACAAAACCGTACGGTTAACATGACCAAATGCTAACTAACAGTAGTTATGTGAGTAGAAAGAGAATGGGTGGTTCTTTTTTCTTAATCCCTTGCCCCAATGTATAAAACATTTGAATATTTTTGTAATATTATAATTGGTACACAAACACAGCATTCTTGTGGAGAATAAAAGCACCGGTGACATAAGAAAACAGATCAACATTCATTCATCCAAAATTAAATCTGCAAGTGAAATGGGACTAACTTTTTATTGCACGTTGTACTTAAAGCCAGTTACTTAATCAGAAATTTAATTTGTAATATGCCTTTCTCCTGAACTGCAACTGCTGGGATGGCATGCTGCTTTTAAAACAAGCAGCTGGAGTCTCCCTTTCCTGTAAGGGATTGAGACAGGCGGAAAATGCTTTATTTTCCACAAGCACCCACTTTAACCCTTTACTGCCAGCTTGAAAGCTATCTAATGCAAGCTAACTGCGCATCGTCAGAAATAATATTAGAAGCAGTTCTTAACATTATGCAAAATTTTATCTTTAACATGCAGGTTTTTGCGTCTAAAAATTTTTTTTATCAAGTGGCAGAACCTTCCCTTGAAATTTAATGTACTATGCGTTCACAATGGGATTATTGGAACTGCAAAAGTTAAGCTCCCTACTGAATCGTGTTAACGTGCACAAAAATGGTTTCGAGGGAAAAGAGCTGAGAGCGCCGTAATTCGCAAGGTTCGTTAATGCCATCTTAAATTTTTAAGCTAGCTTTTGTTGCAGGCAAGGTGCTGTGGAGGGATGTATGTGACAGACTGGACTTGTCTCAGTACTGTAACTCCTGATCTAGTAGTGATAAGTCCAAGGCCATCATCAAAGAAAATAAAAGGGGCGTGGGGACAGAAATGCGACAGTTAGACCTGCGCCAAGTGCAAGATCAAGTGGACGGGACCCAGACACGTTAGGGATCACAGAGACTGAAATCGCTGCAGGACTCGGGGTCGTGAAAGAGGAAGTGTACGTCCCAGCACAAGGACACAGCAGCCCGGTTCCCAGGAGAGCATCACTCCCGCCACCCCCATCCCAGGCCGCGTCCCGGGGCAGGGACGGGAGGCGGCAGCGAAGGGGCTCCGGGGCCGCCCCACTTGCCGCAAGAAATCCACCCGGGCTGCGCGTTGCCCTTCGCAGGGCCTCACCTGAAGAGCTCAGCTCCCTGGACTCACTGAAGCGGCTGAGGCCGCCAACTGCCCGGAAAGCCACCATCTTGAGATGAAAAGGACGAACGAAGAAAGTGCTTCCTGTGGGGGCAGCGGGCATAGGACTTTTCCTCCAGCAGCCTGGCCCCAGCGAGGCGCCCGGCGTACTGCCTGACTAAAACTCCGATTCCGAGTTGCCACCGGCCCCCTAACTTGGCCCTACGCTGAGGCTAATACGGTGAAAAAGACTCCTTCTCCGGTGGAACGGAGGAGGCTCACCGAGGTGGGGAGAAACAGTACCGAGTTCTCCAGTCAGGCGGGAGGCGGGTAGCCCGAGAGACCCACGAAGCCCGCGGACTTAGAAAGGACCTAAGCCTAGGCAGGATCCGCCTCCTAGTCGGGACGCGTCCGGTCACTTGGCGTCTGAACCTAGCGTGGCAGCCGGTCTCTGAGCAGTCTTCTTGAGGTGAGACTGCTTGCGCTCGGCTTACCGCCTGGCCTTTCCCCCAGCGAGAGCCGCGCTTCCGTTCCCAGATTTTTCGCGGTGCCGGCGGCCATACCCCTCCTCGGGGACTGGAGTTGGAGAGAACACAACCGAAGAAGGTCTTCCGGTGGGGTCCTCCAGTACCAACGCGTTCGGCGCTGTGACTTGGACTAGCTTTCTGTGTAGCTCTCACAGCCGTATCACCTGTGTTTTTAGTTTACCGTCGCAGAGTAACGAACTGTTTCCTTGTCTGTGTATAGGCAGTGTTTGTTGTTCACTTGCTTTTCCTGTAGCCGGGTTCGCAGCACAGAGATTTAGAACCGGCGTGGGTTTACCCCATTCCTGCTACTGGGAGTGGGACTCGATCATGTGATCTTTTGGGACTTGAGTTTGAGGGAGTTGAGGTATTCCAATTTACTGCTTGGTGAACCACCGCTCCAGAGGATCTAAGAACCAAAAGGTAACTGGCGATTGTCTGGTTACGTGTCCCCTTGACTTCCTCGGTGAAGCTCTTGAATCAGAGTGATTTTACCCATGATCACAGGTGGTGGAAATAGGGCTTAAACCTACACCTACTAACTTCTAGTCTAGAGCTCCGCACCGCATGGGAGCTGTTTTTGTGCTGGGAAGATAGTCTCGAGTCCTCGAGTAAAGGTATTTGATTCCAAAAGGAAGTAGTGTTGAGAGCCCTCTAGGCACTTTCACGCAATCCTTTTTAATCCTACCGATCACAAATTGTTACTTGCATTTTCTAGCTGAATTTTGGGAGGCTCAGAGAGCTTATGTTATTTTTCCTTTAGGTGGCAGAGCCAGGAATATGTCTGACTGCTCACCACATTGACTGTTCCGCGAGAGGGGGATCAAGAGTGGCCATAGGGAAATGGTAGGAAGTCGAGGCTGAAATGAGGAGTACGGAAAGAAAGAAGAGAGGTTTCTGTTTAAAGCTCCAGTGAAATAGGGAGTTCTCCACTGCTGTAAGCACTTTACAGAAACTGGATGACTAGTGATGATTTCACTTACCAAAAAGGATTCTTTATGACTTTCATAGGCCCTCCAACTCAAAATATTTTTACAATTCAAAGCTTTCCTCCTGTCCATCTAACGCTCTCTTCTGCTTCTAATTCCATATAACACTTATTATTTAGATCAGGGGTGGCAAACTTCTCTTGAGGGCCAGATAAATAGTTTAGGCTCTGTAAACCCACATTGATCTCTGCCTTATATAAAGTCTTTGTTTTGTTTTACTCAGCACCTGATTGAAATGTAAAAAGTATTGTTAGCTCAAGGCCCAGGGGTTGTCCTTTGCCAACCCTTAATTTTGATGACTCTTTTGGCTCATAACTTTTTTTACCCTGTATTCTTATCAAAATCATAAGGCTCTGTCAGGACGGAAATGTTACGTTTCTTACTGTGGCTTCCACAGAGGGGAACTAAGTACAGTTATACCACCACCCGCTGTTACGAATAGTAAGTACATGTATAACCCTTATTATGTATCAGGAACTGTTCTGAGTGCATTAAGGATATTAATGTAGTTATTCCTCACAAAAAATCCTATGGGGTAGGTACTGGAATTTTCTACATCTTACAGATGAACTGAATTACCCGGTTACTTAATCTTTCTCTGCCTTAGTAGTAAGTTATGCTTAAACTCATACAACTAGGGTGGAGCCAGGGTTTGGTTTTGGACAGCCTGGTTTTCGAGTCTGTACTCTTAACCATTACATTGTGTCTTAATATTGTAAAGATGACCTGTTAAAGACACTCCATGCTGCTTTCATTATTTGGCTAGCCCGTTTTTTCGTAGGTGTCTGCAACTACATCCAACTTTCCGTAGTTCCGCACCCTACTCAAGCTCATGCTACTTAAGAGTTTCCATGCCCACCTCCTCCCCTAAATCCTTGAGTCAAAATGTCTATTTCTTAAAGCTTAGAGCAAATGACAGTAAAGGTCAACCTTCCCATAGAGTAATTTGCTAGTCCCTCTTTGTTTTTTTAATCTCTACTTTAAAAAAAATTTTAAAGGAATATATATTTTATGTAATTTTTTTCAGAAACTACAGGAGAGTCTAAAGAAAATAAATACACCTATAATTCCATTATCCAGAGATACCTGTCATTAACATTAAGCTTCATATTTTTCCAGACTTTTTTTATGTATTTGATATTTTTATATATATAAAATGTTAATATATGAAGATATTAAATAAAACTAGTATTATATTGTACATAAAAAACAAAATGCACATAAAAAAATTTAAGAAAACAGAATAAAATTATCCTTTGCAGCTGAAAGGAAAGAAGCGACACATAGCAGCAATTACCGGAGAGTTCCGCTTTATTAGGGAAAGGTGCTGGGTTATATAGGAAGGGGCATGAATTGATTGAGGTGTCACTTCTACGGGGCTGGTGGCTGTTGGCTAGGTGCTGGGATTGGGAGGGGGGCGAGAGGTGATTGGGCTTCAGGTGGCGCCGGCGGGAACTGAGGACCC